ATTTTATTTAAAAGAGCTGACATAAGTTATATTCTTAAATCAGTTATCCTATATAAGTATAGTTCATATGGGGGCGCCTGGGTGGCTTATTCGGTTGAGCGTCCGACTTCAGCTCAGGTCATGGTCTCACGGTTTGTGGGTTCGGGCCCCACATCAGGCTATGTGCTGACACCTTGCTTAGAGCCTGGAGCCTGCTTCAGATTCTGTGTCTCCTTTCTCTCTAACCCTCCCCTGTTTATACTCTGTCTCTCAATAATAAATAAATGTTAAAAAAAAAATGTATAGTTCACATGGATCTGTGGTACTTTGTTGTCACAGTACACCCCAAAAGAGCTGCTTGTTCTTGAAGCAAGTGACTTCCTAGTTCCTTTATTTAGAGGCCACGCCTTCCTAGTTCCTTCATTTAGAGGCCACATTCCTATTCATCCTCTTAAACTGGTGAAAAATTCTTTCCAGGAAAAGTTTCCACCAAAGTTATTTTTTTTTTGGCAATAGTTCAAATCTCAGAAGAATACTGTAAGTTAAACCAGCCATCTGGATTTATTGTTATCCTTAATGCTGAGGCGAAAGTGTAACACTTGTGGCTCTCAACACTGCTTAGCTTTAAAACCTACTTTACCCTTCTTCTATAAAAGAAGAGAGCTTATTTCTTCCATTCATTTTATGAACAAAAGCCTAATGCATATAAGTTAAATAAATGCCACATGTAGCAGTGCAAATTGGCCTCTTAAAAAATTTTTTTTTAATGTTTATTTTTGAGAGAGAGACAGACAGACAGAAAGACAGAGTATGAGCTGGGCAGGGGCAGAGAGAGAGGGAGACACAGAATCTGAAGCAGGTTCCAGGCTCTGAGCTGTCAGCACAGAGCCTGACATGGGGCTTGAGCTCACGAACCATGAGATCATGACCAAGCTGAAGTGGGATGCTTAATGGACTGAGCCTTCCAGGTGCCCCTAGCCTGTTTCTTTAGTTACTTATTCTTTTAGTAGCTGCAGTTACTTCTTTTATCATTTTAATAAACTTTCTGGGAAAGTTACTCACTGCAACCACAACCACTTTTTTGTGATTAGTGGCTTTTGAATCAGAAAACAGAATGCTACCAGATTATTTTAAAGCCACTTGAGAAACTGTTCAGAAACAGTTCCATCAGAGCTCTGACTGTAGCTTACATACTTCATAAATCCTCTTTACCAAAGTATGAACACTCAACCTGATGAGTCACAAACAATGCAAATATAACACACATGATCCCTGACTTAGGGTGGTTTGACTTAAGATTTTTCTACCTTACAATCATGCAAAGGTGGTATGTATCTATTAGAATCCATACTTTGAATTTTGATCTTTTTCCAGGAAAGTGATACCATACTCTTGTGGGATGCTGGGCAGAGGCAGTGAGCCACAGTTCCCAATTAACCACATGATCACCAGAGTGAATAAGCAATACACATAACCTTTCTGTTCTTCACTTCAGTATTCAATAAATTACACAAGATATTCAATACTTTATTATAAAATACACATTGCGTTAGGTAATTTTGCCTAACTGTGGGTTACTGTTAAGTGTTCTAAGCACATTTGAGGTAGGCTAGGCTAAGCTATGATGTTCAGTGGATTTAAGTATATTAAATGCATCTTTCACTTAACAAATTTTCAACTTACGATGGATTTATCAGGACATAAGCTTATCGTAAGTGGAGGAAGATGTGTAGTCAAATTTCTATCCTTGGAATAGTGTGTAAAAAAGAAAATGTATTTCTTCTACATATCACAGAATGGGGGCATAAAAGGGCCTATATGCAAGGTAAGAGAATGAGACCAGAAAAGACTCTAGCTCCTCTGATCCTCAGACAATACTCAGACTATTTATTCATTCAACAAATAGTTCTAAATATGTTTCATATACAGTAAGCAATGGAGTTTAAAAGGGTGAACAAAGAGTCCCTGAACTTAGAGTGTTTAGACTTCAACAAAGAAGGCAAACAAAACAGTAAGATATAATTTCTATTATGACAGAATTCCTTCAGAATTTCACAGATCGTTGAGGTGACAGAGGACACAAGAAAAGCAGGTGAAGTGAGGGGAAGTGGTGAGATGTGACTGGGAAGGAGACTGGCAGAGACTGGTCCACTTAATTTTCAGTGCAATGTAAAGTCATTTTTTCTGGTTTTAAGCAGGGAATTCATGAAATCCAATTTACAGTTTTAAGAAAAACTGCACTGGGGCGCCTGGGTGGCTCAGTCAGTTAAGCACCTGACTTTGGCTCGGGTCATGATCTCAGTTTGTGGGTTCGAACCCTGCATCAGGCTCTGTTATGACAGCTCAGAGCCTGGAGCCTGTTTCGGATTCTGCAGCTCCTTCTCTCTCTGGCTCTCCCCAACTTGTGCTCTGTCTCTGTCTCTCAAAAATAATTAAATGTAAAAAAAATTTAAAAAAAACCCTGCAACATGGAAACTGAATAAAAAGACAACTGGATATTGTGACAATGGCTGATAGATGAATTATGGAGGTGGCCTGGACTAACAATGTTGACAGCAGGGATGGAGGATAATGAAAAGATAGGAGAAATATTTAGGCTAGAGCAAAGATTAGGTGGATTTGGGGGGGTGGAGATGAGATGAACAATGAGACATTTAGCCCTGCTCCTGTATCGTGACCCAATTCTGGATATATTTGACTTAAATGGATACATTCACAAGACCCCTGTATGTATAGGTTTGGTGCTTCAGAGAGAAGCCAAGATGCAGACATGCTTATGAGTAAACACAACTTTTTGTTAAATGGGGATTATAGCTATACAGAGAAAAAAAACAACAAAAAGTGTGCATAGTAAGAGAGTCTGTGGAAAGAACTCCAACATTTGAGTAGGATGAAGGAAATGGGCCTAAAGGAAGACTGAGAAGATGTAGGGGGGAGGGTAAGGGTAACAATTTTTAGTAACTGGAGTGTTAGTGTATTTCTAGAAGAATGGAACACTAAGCGTTTTAAATGGCACAAAGAGTTTGAGCTACAAGAACTGAAAATGTCTGTTTCTTTTTTTTAATTACTTTCTAAGGGGACTTTTTGGACTCTCCTTCAATCACACTTTCCTGTATTCTACTATTTTTTGGTCTCATATTGAGAATTTATGATTTAACACATAGAGGCATCGGTGACCTTAGTAAAAGTAGTTTTTGTGATAGTTCAGTGGAATGCTAGAAACAAGGCAGGATGAAGTAGGCTGAAAAATAGCTCAAAGTGGGAAAAACAGAGAAAGGAGAGTAGATGATACACTCAAGAACTCTAGCTGTGAAGATGAAAAGACACAAAAATAAATGGGAGTATCTCAAAATACAGTTAAGGAAGAATATTTCTAAATGGTTAAGAAAAGGCATGAGTAGAAAGGAAAAGTCAGATGATGTAGGAGAGAGGAAATAACTGAAAAAAAGAGGATCCTGATCAGGGAGGAGAGGATGGTACTGGGAAACTAGGGATTTGCTTTCCCTAAGGGACACTTTTCCTCTTGAAACAAAAGGGAAGAAGGTTTGTACATTTGGTTGTAGCAAGATGATTGCTTGTTTTCTCTATGTAATAGAAGAGATCATTTATCAAGGGAAAGAGAATTCTTCTCTATAAATGTCATTTGCTACTCATGTACTGACATATTACTTAAACATATATACTCTAGAGGGAACTCCAACAGTATAGTATGCTGAATGTTTAGAAATACTGTAAAAATCCTAAAACTCAGGTAAGAAAAACTAACCTTAACTGCAAAGAGAGCTTTCCTACAAAAGATATGTAAATTTCAGGTAATTCTTCACTCACCTCATTCCCCCACATTTCCTATATTCCCAATTCAGAGTCCTCTTTTCTCTCCAAAACTGATTGTTCTATCGTTTCATTTGTAATTTTGATTCCATTCCTTTCTCTCTTTTCTTACATTTATATCATACACATTGGTTACTTACTTTTTGCTCCCCAAAACATAGTATCCTGTATTCTTTAAGCCAAACCCCAGAGGCACCTGGGTGGCTCAGTCAGTTAAGCGACCAACTCTTGATTATCGCTCAGGTCATGATCTCACAGTTTTGTGAGTTCAAGCCCCAGGTCCAGCTCTGCACTGACCCAGCTAGAGTTTGCTTAGTGTTCTCTCTCTCTGCCCCTCCTCTGCTCGTGCTTTCTCTCAAAATAAACTTAAAAAATAAAATAATAATAAAACCCCTGTCCTTATAGGGACTTGACACACCCTCAATAATCCTTTGATTCATGCTCCAAAGATGAAGAATTGATTAGTCTACAATTGCGACCTCTCCTCTAAGTAACTGACTGTATTAAAGTAGCTCTCTTAACTTGCCTAATGACTTCCTAATCATCAAATCCAGCTACCTAGTCTCAGACTTCAACTTCCTCCTTTGACCCTTGCAAGATTTCATTTCATTGATAACTTCCCCCAAACCAAGACAATCACTTATTATACGAAACTTCACCTGTTTTGTTATCACCTCGAAAGTTTCTTTTCGGCTTACTTCCTACTCTTTTTTCTTTCCTTTTTTTTTTTTCCTTCCCCTTTTAATCTTTCTACCATCCACACCTAAGCCCCTGTTTCAAACTCGGTATATCCCAAGCTCCACAAAATTCCTCCTCCTCGTATATGGGCTCCTAATTTTAGTGGCACCATCTTCATAATCATACAGGCTATAAGCTTTAGCTTTGGGTACAAGCCAAACCCAACAAATCCAACCAGCCACAGTGCTCATCACTTTTCCATACTCAGTTTTTTTTTTTAAATGTTTTATTTATTTCTAGGAGAGAGAGAGAGACAGCGTGAGCAGGGGAGGGTCAAGAGAGAGGGAGCCACAGACCGAAACAGGCTCCAGGCTCTGAGCTGGCAGTCAGCACAGAGCCCGACGCGGGGCTCGAACCCACGAACCGCGAGATCATGACCCAAGCGAAAGTCAGATGCCTAACCGACTAAGCCACTCAGGCGCCCCTCCATACTCAGTTTAGATTCCCGTCACCTCTCTCCTGAAGAACTGAAACACCTTCCTCACGGTATTCGCCACCCAGGCTCATCCGGGCGCCACCCTCTAACAGGACGTCCGTTCAGGTTACTCGGGGTTTGCCTTCCAAAGCAAAAGGCTGGGGCTGAGGTCCAAGTCGTTGCTACTTCAGCTCACCGTGGGTGACAAGATCTTTTTCCCGCGCCGAAGCACGGAGAGGGACCCCAATGAGCCTGAACCTCTTGGGCGTGGGACGCGAGAAGGCCGGGCTGAAGGTGCACCTTTCCGTTCCGGCCCTGCCGGCAAGAAAGCCCGGAAGGCCAAGAGGGAGGCCCAGTCAGCATCAGAAACTCTCTCGAAGCCCAGGCTGGAGTCCGGAGCCCCAGCTATTCAGCTTGCTCCCCAGTTTTCGAGCTGTTCCCTGTCCGCAGACTCCCCGCCCCTCACACTCACCCCGACACCTGGGCCAGCCAGTGATTCGGCGCCAGGTCCGCTACGGACCTAGGCTGAGGCAGCTGAGAAGGCCCCGAGGACCCCGCAGGTGGGGTGCCCAATAGATTGCCTGACAAAAGCTTCAAAGAAACCAACAGGGTCTACGGTATTGGGAAGATTAAATAAGCGGAAAGACGTTACATGAGAAGAAAGACGTCTCTTGAGGTTTAGGATCTAAATCTTCTAGTTCACCCAGAACCTAGAAGAAGGTGAGTTTCGCACCATGTGGACTCAGGCACTTGTACGCAGCCTAACTCAGTCTAGGGTCTCCCTACAGCCGGGGGGCGGGATTAGAAAGGGTCTGAGCCAATGGCTGTGGAAGGAAGAAACACGGAGTGGCGAGTCAAGAGAGGCGGGGTTTGGGGAGAAAGGGGCGGTGATGATATGAGGGGGTGGGCCCAGGGAGCAGAAGGGGTGGGAGCTCGAAGATGGCTGCGAACGAGGAGGAGCCGAAGCCCAAAAAGCTGAAGGTGGAGGCACCGCGAGCGCTGAGGTGAGCGCTCCTCGACAAAGGGTGGAGGGTGACGGCGTCTGCCGCTAACCAGGGCCCACGTGGGGTTTCATGGCCCCGGAGCCGAATGGTGTCCTCGCTGTCGGCATGGGGCCAAAGCACACGACCGGCAGTTCACGGAGCTGCCCGCCAAACTGCTAACCTTTGCCCAGCTCCCGCCCAGTTTGGCCGAGTTGCCGCCTGCTCCGGAGCGGCTCCGGCTGCTCTTGGCCAATCAGGACGCTGGCCTGGGGAGAACTATCCGGCCTTGGGCACGCTGTGGGCGCCACGTGGGAGCCTCCCCCGGGCTGGGCTGTGGCACTTTGGACGACCTGACCTGACTCGAGCAGAGTCTAACGCTGCCACCTCCTATTCCCTGGGGGATACCGAGGAGGAGGCCCAGCGACTGCTCTGCCCGGGGCAAAGACAGAATTCTTGGGATTTTTTCGTAAAGTGTCGCGGAAGGGCGCCTTGACCTTTCTTTTTGTACTCGTTCTGAAAGTTGACATCTTTGAAGGCCATCTGCAGGCTTGGCGGGGCGGTTTTGGGTGAATAGATAGGAAATACTGATATTTCTTTTTACTTTTTGGCAGCAGTGGAAATAGTTCTGCCCCTAACACCGGCCTCACATGATGTTGTAACTTACTTATAAAATGTTGTTTGTTAAAATATTCCTTTCTGATAAGTATTAAGTGTAACATGGACAGTCCTTGATGATTTTGAAATGTTTGTTGGGAGCCATTGACTTTTATATGTAAAAATAGACATAAATTGATTTAAAACTATTGAGATATTCCTTGATTTATATATACAAGACAAGCCTCATTTTTTCCAACTTCATCCTTCACTTTCAAAAGAATGAAGCATTTGTAAATGAAAGGAGAAGGTCGGTTAGGGGCCCGATACTGTTTTCTCGGTCTTTTGGATGAATGGTGACCAAGTCTCTGCCAGTGCTTTTAATATATTCCTACTACCCCCAAAGGATTAATATGCCTACCTTATGCAAAGAAAATAAACTTATTTTTTTCTTTTGACAACTCAGGATGTTCTGATTTTTAAAAAATGTTTATTTATTTTGAGAAAGAGAGTGAGAGACAATCCCAGGTGCTAACAGCACAGACCCCAACCCCTGAGTGATCCCACTAACGCTGGGAAATCAAGAGTCTGATGCCCAACCTACTAAGCCACCCAGGCGCTCCAGGATGTTTCCTTTTTATTTTAAGCTTTCAGTCCATAGATTGAAAATAGCAATGGCTTTTTGAATCAGACCTATGTGGGTTCAAGGGCATGTGGTTTCCCTACTCTGCCCATTTCTAGAATATTTCTTTGAAAGGTGTCTCCTTCACAAAGTTTCCGTACCAAATTGGAAGACAGATGCAACTTTTCCTTACTATCCTACTAAACATATGGTCCTTAGATTTTTCCCTTATGTTAATCCATTTTCAAGGCATTTGCCCATTTTACAGGTGAGATCAAAGCTCAATGAAATAATTAGTTAAGGAACTGAAATATGAATCCAGAGCATCTGGGTGCAAGTCCATTGTTGTTTGATTCTAGTGTCGACTTTTTTTTAAAAATTATTTTTAAAAAATAATTATTTTTGAGAGAGAGCAAGAGAGAGTGAGTGGGGCAGGGGCAGAGAGAGAGAGAGAGAGGGACTCACAAAATCTGAAGCAAGCTCCAGGCTCCGAGGTGTCAGCACAGAGCCCGATGTGGGGCTCTAACTCATGAACAGTGAGATCGTGACCTGAGCTGAAGTTGGATGCTTAACCTACTGAGCCACCCAGGCACCCCCACCCCCCCACCCCACCCAGTGTCAGCTTTTATATAACCACCCAAGAAATCTTCACTTAGCCCTGGTTATGGATCCTTAAAAACAAAGATAAATAATAATATTTAACATTTAAGTATGTACATATCAGGCACTGTTTCAGCAGTTTATCTGTTTTAGCATATGTGCTGCCAAAGTGAGCACAGCAGTTTACTTGTTTTAACTCATTCAAGCACACAACAACCTTATAAGGTAGATACTATAATTTACATTATACTAAGGAAGAAACAGGCATAGAGAAATTGTAAGTTGATCAAGGTCACGTATCTAATAACAGATGGGGTTGGGATTTTAATCCAGATAGTCTGATTCCCGGCTTGTGCTCTTAATTACCATGTTATACTTACTAACTTCAAGCAATTATCCAAAAACTCTCAAGAACTGTTAACTCAGTTTTTGTTTCTCTACTTCTGCTTATTTTTTTTTTGTTGTTGTTAATGTACATAACTTTTTATGTTGGTGCAATATATACGTGTATCATACTTAATTCTTTCTTTGTAAATTAAAAAAATTTACATGCAAGTTAGTTAGCATATAGTACAGTAATGATTTCAGGAGTAGAATCCAGTGACTCATCCCCTCCATGTAACACCTAGTCCTCATCCCAACAAGTGTCTTCCTTAATGCCCCTTGTCCATTTAGCCCATCCCCCTTATCGTACTTAATTCTTAAATATATTGAATATATCTTATATGTCATTGTGTTTTTTAAAAATTTGTGTAAGCACTGGGGCTACTGGCTGGCTCAGTCAGTACAGTCTGACTGTACTGTCAGTCGCTACAGCATGTGACTCTTTGATCTCAGAGTCATGAGTACAAACCCCATGTTGGGCATAGAGCTTACTTAAAATGAACAAACAAAAAAACTACCCCCAAATTATACAAATCCTTAGGCAACTAAAAACTCATTTTATATAATACTTACTTGGTGCCACTGTAGACATGAAGTTAAAATATTAGACACTTGAGTACTTGGACAAATCTCTTAATTTTGTGTGAAGACCTTTGGGCATTAGCTTTTCCTACTTCTATTAATTTGGCTTTAAGGGTTGCAGTGTGATAATGCATTTATTGGTTGGACTGCTTGCATTATCTATGATGACTGGCTCTAGAGTTAAGGGACTAGCTACCTGTTTTGGTAATTTTTCAGGAGAGTGGCTTATAAAGCCTAAGCATAATTTAGTGTGTAGAATCAGTGACGAACAAATGAATGTATGATATATGTTTGTAGATGTCAGGGAGAGGAGTTAGAACTTTGAGAATTTCAGTTAGCTCTGGGGTGGTCGTTCTCAACCAGAGGAAATTTTACCTTGCAGGGACATTTGGCAATGTCTGGAAACGTTTTTGGTAGGGAATGCTACAGGCACTTAGAAGTAGAGTTCAAAGATGCTGCTAACCATCCTACAATGTACATGAAGCCCCCTACAACAACAAAGAATTATCTAGCTAAAATTAACAGTAGTGTTGAGACTGAAAAAACTTACTCTAAGGGAGAGTATTTGACAAGTCTAGCCTTCCTTTTTTAAAATATCCATTATTTTTCTAGGTTGGATTGCTTGTCAGGTTGTAGTAGTTACTGAAGTTGCAAAGAAATAAGCAGGCTTTAACATGTTTTCATGTGGGGTTGGGGAACAAAAGAGAATATTAATTGAGTGCCAGATATTATACTAGGTGCTTTATATATGCTATCTCCTGTAATCTTCCCAGCAACCTGTGAGTTAGGTAATACTCCTTGTGTCACAGATAAGGTATTTGGGGCTGAAAGAAATTGGGAAACATTTTTGGGAACTGATCCCTAGTTGAATATGTTCCATGATGAATACCTGTATTTAGGACCACTCATTTTCTTTTCTCTCCTTTGAAATCTCATCCAAGTTTATTTCTTTAGTGGTCACCTCTAAGAGGACCCTGTTCTTTTGCAAGCTTATTGAACATGTTCCAACTGTGTTTTTTATTTTTCCAGTCAGTCTAAGTGGCTGCTATTTTAGGAATGGTGCTAAATATTAGGTGCTAATATGTAGTGAGGTAAGACCCAGATACCATGTAAGGGTTGGGAAAATGATACCTGAGATTTCTGAAAGATGACATTGAGTTAACCAGGTATGAAGTAGGGTGTTTGACTTTATAGAAAGGTTTGTTTGGAGGTAGAGATGGGAGAGAGCTGCCTCTGTAGGGAACTAGAGATGGTTTGGTCTGACTGGAGCAGAAGGTAGAAGGCATCCAGGCTTTGTACTGGACATATACTGGATCATATGTGTGATCTATTGCTATGTCCTTAAGTTGTCAGACCCTAATTTTAACTGTCTGCTGAATATCTCCTTCTGAGTGTCTTGCTGGCCCTTCAAAGTCATGTATATCAAGCGAAATCTGTCTCTTGTCCAAAATGTGCACCTTCTTCCTACATCTGTTAATGGCACTATCTAATTTCTGTTTCTCCATAATTTGGAACCTAGGTATTTGCTTCATTTTCCATCCACATATGGTTATCAAAGTTGGTCTTTTCTTCTTTAGTAATGTCTCATAAATGCCTTTCCTTTTCCATTCCTGCTGCCACAACTCAAGTGTAGATTTTATCTTGCTTAGGTATGTTGGCTTCATAACAAGTCTCTCCACTTCCACTGTCAAGTTCTTCCTA